AATGCTCAATCTCAGCCAAGTTGCAGCGCCATGGTGTATGAAATGAAATAAACATAGTGTACAATTCCCATTCACACTCAATTTGTTTTCAACAAATAGCACAACTGCATTATCTCTGTCTTACTTTAAAAGCTGAAGTACAAAAATTCCCAAGTATCAGACATTACAAATTAGCATTTTGCCCAATATCTTTCTGGCAGCTCAAAAATGTAGAAGTAGAAAAGTGCAGATGCTATAAATGATCTATGCCTGCTTGAAGGCTACAAGGAAGAATATCCTAATTAAACGAAGTTTTTGATTCCATGAAAATGTGAATGTCATGCATGCTTTAGCTAAGCTTCCAAACAGAAGTGTTTGGGTATCATGGGAGTGCAGTGCATGAGTCAGAAAAGACATCCATCATTTGAACACTTCAGCTCCACCAGACATCTCTGCATACCCTTGGGGCTAACAAGAAGCAACCTACGAATATGTATCACTTTGACCTGCTCCCAGAAGCCAGTGCAGTGGTATTTGAATGGGCAAATACATAAAAGATATAAAGAATATATAAAATAGAAAATCGCAGAGGGTGGAACTACCACAATGAATATATATGGTTTTTAAATTCCCAAATGCATTAAAATACATGATGATTCATGAACTGTGTGAAGTTCAAGCTAGTGGTGGTTTGGGAGAACATCACTAGGGACAGGTCATCCCCTGGTCAGACTTGGTGAACAGACCATTTATGGCACAGACCAAAAATTTCTGCCAATAAGGAGCTGGCAAATGTGAAGCCTTCTCCAGTTGTTTTTGATATGTTTTATACATCTTTAGAAAATAAAGTATCAGACCTCAGCACTTGACAACTCCTTAAATTAGTAAAGTGTCTTTTGATAATGTAAGATCAGATAATTTTGCATAGAGGGACTGCAAAAGGAAAAGAAAAAACACCTGATAACAAGACAAGCTTGTAGAGCATATTTTAGCACAAGACTCTAGGACCCACCTGGAGGAATATGAGGGTTTACAATCTCAAATACAAATTTGAATCGTGATGCATAATCAGATGGGTAAGGGGTGAGTGAAAAGCAGTTTATAAATAGTATGACACTGCTTGACCATCCCTACTGTATATAGGGTCACATGATGATAACTCTTTTTAAAATTATTGATGCTGCTGATTAGGGAAAAAAAGTTTAAAATTTCTTTTTGCTTCGATGTTTGCATTCTGTAGAGGCAAACCAAGTGTACTTTGGGATCTCTACTCGTTTTTTAGATATATAAGGTTGATAATGAACCAAGACTTTTCAGAATATTCTTGCAGAATAAGTAAAGAAATACAATAATCAAGACAGCAAAGTAAGAAAATGAAGCTGCACATAATTGAGAAAGTCACCAACTCTCTCAGAATATCTGTGTGCATATTCCTACTGCCAGAATCCTGTAGGCTATTTATTGTTTAGGTTACACAGATCCACCAGTTTAGATCCTGGGAACTACTCAGGACTTTCCTATATTTGTTTAGCTTTAAACAGTGCCAGGCTGATCTGCAGTTTACTTTTGTTGAAAGTGTGTTATGCAGGAGTAGGAAAAATGCTTCATGCACCATGGCCCCTGCCCTCAGATCTTCAGATCAGACATCTCTCACTGCCTATACCAGCACAGAAGTAATAAACTTCTCTCACAATTTTACACTGAAAAAGCCAAACATATAATGTATTTTGCTGCCTGTTCAGAGATGGACAGTGATTGGGTCTGTTCTACAAAGCTTTCTCCAGACTACCCATTGGCTCCTGTCTGGCTATCTCTTCTGACTTTTTGGTCCTTTTCATGTGGAGTCTAATCCTGTATTGTTGCAATTAACGGAGACTGGTCTCTGAAAAGCCAGCTTTCAGAGCTGTGAGGAGAGTTAATGGGACTGAGCTGTTTGTCTGCCACAGAATGACGCTTTCTACTGTGTTTCTGACTTAATTTTCCTCAAAACAGATGAAATATTACACCAGTGTACTTCCTAAAAGTCATTCTGTGTCATTGGTCTTGCACTGTTCTTCTTCTGCAACCTATTATGTGCGCCTGTATTCATAAATAATATATCCACTAGTGCATACAGCTAAAATTTTTCTGTGTGCATGGGTTTAAAGCAAATACAGCAACATATAAAATACAAATTAAATTAATGCTCACTGTACTTGTAACACAGCCAAATTCTTAATATTTTATAGTGCATATTCTATTAAATAAATAATAACTAAATTGATCTATGCTACAATATGTGTATACATATACATTTTAGGATACCTGTAAATAACATTTTAAAGCCTGTTCACACATCAAAAGACAGGTTGTTTATTTCTCTGTTAGAACAATCCAAGGATTTAACTCTTCCTATTATGTAAACAGTGGTGACAGACGCTTTCAAGGAAGCTTAACTTCAATAAAAATAATAGTTTCCCATTTAAAAATCAATACTAATATACCATAAATCCCCCGATGAACTCTGGCTTCCTTGCATGCTCTCACATTTTGTGTATTAGGGGCACAGCACTACTCTAGATATCAGAATATAATAATATGGCAATATATATAGATATAGATATATATTTAAATGTTAAAACATTTTTAGGTCAACTTGAGTAATGAATAAATTTCAATTATATGCTTCTTTCTATAAATAAAGGTAATTAATTTTCTTTGCAACATGGGTGCCTTCGTATGTGGGTAGCAAACCAGCAAAACAATTCCGGTATCTTTAGTTCAAAATGCAATTGTGACATAGATGAAGTTTTAACTTTTTTCTTTTTTGTACTAAAATTGTACTTGCGGTAGAGTTCAATATAATTTATGAGATTACTTTAGGGTAGACATTTTAAGCAACTCATACAAAAGAGAATTTTTTAATGACAAGAAAGCAAGGTATAGTCTATTCATTTCTCAAGCAGACCTTTATGAATCACTTTAAAAGGACACTACAGCTGAAGACTGAAGAGCAATATTTATCAACATTAAATAAAACATTCGGTGAAATATGTATAAATATTTCTTTATATGAACATAACACAAAATTAAATAGTTTAGATACACAGACACCATTTAATATATTTCCACTGTTGTCAAAATCATCTGTAAACACCATCTCACACTGAATACAAAAGCAGCTTTAACATCAGTTCTGTATTCACAACACTGATGCCCCTTTGTAAAAGAAGATACTTGTTTTATTTTCAGCAAAATAAGAGTCTAAGCAACAAAAAAAAAGTTTTGGTCAGCTCAAAGGAGAATACAAAATAATCTTTCAGCATGTAACTAAATCAGATATCAGATTTAGAGCAACAGTTAAAAGTACAATCCTTTCCCCAGGGGACCTCTGACATTTATAAATCATGTTTGGTGCAGACCACCTCACAAATACCAGGAAATACTGGTCATGTCTAAATTATAAATATTAAAGCCCTTTTAAAATTGTCTTTATCAAAAATTGCCAGGTTACAAATTGGCAATATCACATTTTTCACACCACTGAATAACCTGGTATCAAACGGATTTAGGTGCACTTCTTCTGATGATTTTTAAAACAGGTTGTGAAAAACAAACACTTTTTAGTGAGCATCCTTCACATGCAAAAATAAAGCATTTCTTTGAAACAAATCATTGGCATCTGAAGATCACCTGGGCAGACAGTGCAAGCAGCAGGGCTCCACCAACTTTTATCAGAAAGTTACAACTTGAACTTTCATCGGAAGCTGTAGAGATACTGCACAGAGGATCTGAGCTGGCTCTGAGAAGGGTGGTGCATCCCCACGGTGCAGCTCAGGACAAGGTGTTGCAGGAGCCATGTGTGCTTTGACAGCAGCACGGCCTCCCCAGCAGGACATGGGCCTGCTGCTGATGGTTGCACCTACCTGGCTCCTGAGCAGCTCCCTTTGAGCACTGGTACTGTGCAGCCCAGATCTGGGTTCTCATTATCCTATGCCCTGCCAAGACAGCTTCCTGCTCTTCCCTGAATGTAGCCTTCAATTCCTTTCCTCTTTGTATCGTTTAACGATCACTTTGAGGAGAGACTCTGAGCTCAAGATTAAGATTTTACTGGGAAAATACCCAATTATAAAACTCTGTAAACTCACAGGCTATGTTTTGGTTTTCTCAGTTTGAAATGTGGACACTATGTTTTGGTTCCAGAGATAAACTTGAATTTCAGGTGGCAAATAATGAGCTATATACTTATAACATGATTTTCGAACTTTTAAAAAGTTTCAATCACATGTAATCATGATGGGGGGCCCTGTAAAAGCTAGAACAAATAGGTCACCTCTTTCCTGGTATGTGTGCATTTCAGAGGTGTGAATGTGTGCTATGCATACATACACACTCCCACACACACATATAACATCAGCTGCACACAGAGATACTCAGAAATCAGGAATATGGGGTACAATTAATAATATATCAGAAGAGAAGTAGACAGGAAGCTGCACCAGGACAACAAGAGGCAATTTTTCAACCTATACAGTGTCTCAATTTCATAATCCTGTTTCACTAGCTTGCTACATCTGTATGTAACTTGAATTGAAAGTTGTTGGATTCCTTGGAAAAAGAAAAGTTGGGCTGGCTAGATGTGCTTACCTGAGATCCCAGAGCTGATTATAATCAAAGAGCTGGGCACATCAGTAATGGGTTTATAATTGCTATACAGCTTCTCACAAATTCATAGGAAAACTTTATTAAATCTTACACTCCTTAGTAAAAATGTTGAAGTTTCTTAGTTTTTGCTGAATGTGGATTGACTTTTATATTAAACTGGATTTATTGAAAGGATAAATAAGCCTGGCAGCTGCTTTCATGCCTAAATCATAGAATCAGCACCCTGGACCCACCTTCCCTCCTCAACCCATCCTGTCTCATCCCTTACTACCTTGCCAATCCTGCCCGGTCCCATCCTGTTCTGTCCTATCTCACCCCATCCCATCCTATCCCATCACATCCCTGCTTCGTTATTTTTCTATTTGTTTAAAAAATACTATTCTATGAAGCCTCCCTAGGGATCCGCTTATGAAAAATGACGGACTGCCTTTGCTGATACTGCTGTTTGCGTCGTTTTCGTTTGTCACACTGGCACAGCAGCAGCATCTTAAAAGTGTTTCTGAATGTTTTGTTACACAGTGCATAGCACATGGGGTTCACTGTGCTGTTGATGTAGCAAAGCCAATACCCCAGGTGCCAGAAAGTTTTGGGGATACAGCTGCAAAAGGTGTTCACCAGAACCATTATATTATATGGGGTCCAGGTAATGATGAAGGCAAACAAAATGGCACTGAGTGTCTGTGCTGCTTTCTTTTCTTTGATAAGTGACATTCGTTTTCGTTTTGTGATCTGACTTCTGGTCTTCAAGGCAAACTTTTTTGCCAGGGTTGCTTCCTTAAAGGACAAGGGCAGGGCTGTCGATGTCTTGGTGACTGATGAGATGCCATCAGAAGCTGTGGTTGTCTCTTCTGATTCTGGTTCAACTGGAAGCTTGGTAAAGCTCTTTTGGAAATTTCCACCATCCTGAACACCTTTGGGAGGGTGCAATTTTTTAGGTTTCTTTTCCTTCGATTCCGTGTCGGATTTCTGCAGTTCATCCCCTGACTCGTGCAAATCTTCCGAGGAGGGTAGTTTTGTGGAATTGAGGATAGCACTGTGACCAGGAAGTTTCAGCACAATTGAATAGATGGCTCTGGTCTCTGCAGCAATGTCTTCTTCATCAGAGGAGGCTGAATTCTCAAGGGAGGCAGCAGCATCATTGTTGTTCCAGCTGTCACTGCTGCTATGCTCTTGGTCCCCCTGATCTGTGCTCGGTTCCCAGCTCTTCATTGTGAGCCAGAAGTGGCAGCGTCTGTATTTCTTTCGGGCGGAGCGTTTCATGTTCTGCCGCTGCAGCTCGTAGCTGCTGCAGCTCCGGGAGCTGCCTGTCTGGTGCACAAAGCGCGCTGCCTCCGCCTCGCTGCCCGAAGCCTGGAGCCCTGCTAACTCTTTGGTGCGTTTCTCTGTCTCCTTGTAGATCCTCCAATACAAAATACTCATAATGGTCACCGGCAAATAAAAGGCAGCTATGGCAGTGCCAAAAGTGATGATAGGTTCACTTAGAAACTGGATGAAACATTCATCAGGAGGCACAGTCCTCTCCCCAACAAAATACTGCCAAAACAAGATGGCAGGGGCCCAAAGAACAAAAGAGACGATCCATGCTAAACCAATCATTACCCCAGCCCTTTTGGTTGTTCGTTTGGCTCTGTATGTCAGCGGCCTAGTGATGGAAAAATACCTGTCAAAACTTATCACGAGGAGGTTCATGACAGAGGCATTACTGGCGACGTAGTCAATGGAGAGCCAAAGATCACAGGCCAAGCTTCCCAAAGCCCAGTGGTCCATGATGATGTATGTGGTATAAAGATTCATGGAAAGAACACCGATGATCAAATCTGCACAAGCAAGGCTCAACAAGAAGTAGTTGTTGACTGTTTTCAGTTGTTTGTTAACCTTAAATGCAACAATCACTAAGATGTTTCCTATGATGGTCACCAGTGCAAGGATCCCAGTGAGGAAAGCAATCAAAACTACTTGCCAGATAGTGTGTCCACCCAGAGGGTCTTTGCTTGTGGCATTGAGGGTCATGTTTGTTGATTCCACAGTGGAGAAAGGAAAACTCTCTGTGGTCTGAGGGAAGTCATAGCTGCCAATGAGTGATGCTGCTTCATCAAGGAGTCCCGGTCCATGCGAATCTCTCTTCCAGAAGGAGCTCACATTCGGTAAAAGGAGCGAGGATGAACTGTTATTATGCATGATCATTGTGGCTCTCTGACATAGTCTGTAGCAGAGAAAAACCAAACAAAAATCAAGTGAACAGGTGAAGATGTTAAATAATCATCCTCATACTTGTACATAAAATCACTTTAGCACTTTGAAAGATGTCTTTAAAAAGCCAAGCTGCCTGTGACACATTTCAAGTCAAACCTGTATGTGATATCCAGATTGTGATTAGTCTGAACTCTTTATAGTGATCACATTGTGTTTTCTTATAAACATTCAATTACAGAGGAACCAAAATCCCAGGAGAATTTGAATGTACAGTAGTATTAAAATGCTCCCAAACTCTAACTCTGAATTAAAACACACCCTGCAGGATCTGTCCTGAACTCAAAATCTCAAAAATCCTGGAGCCTTTAAAAATTAAGTTCCAATCATACGAAGCCACAAATCTTCCACGTTCAAATCAACACTGGTTCCCAGTGCTATCCTGGCTCTAACAAAACAGAGCCACAGCCTCTCGGCTGCCTCCAGCTATAGCTGATGGCAAACAAAAATATTGTTCTGTCTTTCCTGAAACTATGATGATACAAGCCAGCAAAATTTCACTGTGCCAAGCTACTCTAATCTGTGAGGCTGCAAAACTCTTCCCATTTTCATCTACCTTTCAGCTATCTGATAAAAGTAGTAAAAGTTCTCATTAGCATTTTTTGCACATGCCACTATTCATTTTTTTCATGCATGTTTTTATACTTGGACTAAGGATTTTGCACATCTAATGACTTCAAAATTTCTTTGGGGGCAACACATGGTAAAAGTTCCTTTGAAATTATGGTCTCTGAAGTCAGAAAAAAACCTTTGACAGATGTATGTCAAAGCAATCACTAAACACTTTAGGAAAATTGCAGAAAAAAGCATGAAAGGAATTAATAATTAAACTTTAATCATTTCCCCCCAGTACGAACATAAAATGAAAGCATGCTCAGACTAGGAACTTGCAATCCTCTTATTTCTTAGCTTCTCTAGTCATCTGACTGGATCCCTAGTAGTAAATTAATTATATCATCAAGAAGAAAAAATTCAGATGAAGAAGTCCATCACTGACTGTAAGCATTGAGCAAAATGTGCTGTCACTGTTTGTTTGTTTTCTAAATGTGAATCCTTCCAGAGTCAATATATAATGGCATGAGATAATAATGAGTATCACAATACACTAATTTTACATAAAAATATTTAACCAAAATAGGAGGGTTTGGTTATGTTTTTCTAAATAATTTCTAAATTCAGCTTTCCCTTGAAATGTACTTGGTTTTGTTATGAAGCCATAAGACACTGAGGGGTTTTAAGTGGGGCAGTTTCTTTGACATATGCAGTAAATAGATCATCAGTTCCCTTCCTTTGCTCATGTACGATAACTAACACAAACCTCTCCCCTATTTCGATATCTAGTGTAAATGAGGTTTTGTTAGGTTACAATGAAGATGCCATATATTATCTAATTCAGTCCACTTTTAATGCATTCATCATTGTACAACTCAGAATATGAACACAATAATAATGAATAAATATTGCTCTGGTAAATCACACAGTTAAAATTCCAAGTCTTTTGCCTGATAGAATGATTGAAAACTCACAGCAGCTCAACTTCTAAAAAGAAAAATGGTAAGACAGGACTGCTGGAAACCATTCTTGCAATGTTTTATTTAGGAAGCAGGCATTTTTTCCAGAGCTGTCAGACAGGATGAGGTCAAAACCAGAATAGTATGAGAGAGATCTCAAATAATGATATTTGCTAAATATATGCCAGAAATTATTAATGTTATAGGGTGCAGACCTTTCTTGACTCACACTGGGGATGGAGAGCAGAGGATGAAAGCCAGAAAGCATCCGCTCTGCAGCCATAAATTTCTGAAACCTCTGTAGGGCAACAGCCAATCCAGTCCCGTATTGGTTGAGAACTCTGACAAGTACATTTAGATGGCAATGATATCATTATGCTGCTTTTTCATTAAAAAAAGACAAGTTGGTATCTTCTAGCACACGAGAAAAGATCAGGAAGAATATATCAATAAAGGAGATCAAACTTCCATTAAAAGGTAGGAAAAAAAATCACTTAGAAGTGATGGTAAAAAATAACGGTATTACTAAGAAATAAAAATAATTAACAGATAGGTAGTAGTTCCCATTTTCATTGTATAACACAACCATGAACTAATCTGAGTGTTAGCCTTGGAAGTCCAAAACAAATACCATAAGAGATAAGAGAGACAAATAATCTTGCAAAATTAATATGCAAATGCCACACTATCTATCAGTAACTCCATTAACCAATTGTGAATTCTATTTAACTGTAGACTTTGAAATGGAGTTCCAATGGAAATGTAATGATAAATCCTTTCAGAAATGCCATGATTCAAAAGGCTCATGATGAGGAATCCTGAGATCATCATAATTCAGCTGCAGTCTTTCAGACACTGAAGAAGTGTCGGAACCAATACTTTCTTTCTTTCTCAGGTCAGTTCTTTCACATCTGGACTTCAAAGTAGCTTCTCTAAGTCATTGTTTCAATGAAAACCTGAACAGTCCTTAGCAGTCCAGTAACTGAGGAAAAGGAGAAACTGAGAACAACCCACCATCTGTCTCCTGCTGTTCAGTGCAATCCTGCACCTGTAATTTGGCTTTTTTAAACTCCACAGGGATTAGAGGGAACCCTAAACTCACAATGGCTGCACTATTTGATAAAATGGAAGTGCCAGTGGGATGATTAGTATGGTCTTTTGTTATTCTGCCTCTTCTACAAGCTCCTGTAATTGAACCATTTAATTCAATAAAAAAATGTATTAACCATATGTCCATCTGCACAAAAAAAAGAAAATATCACTACCACCACCACCACAACATACCAGATCAGCACAACTGGATTTTCTTGCCTTTAGGAAACCAAGGCAAGCTATATTATCCATCATTTTCCAAAGCTGCCATGCAGTTTCTGCTTTCTGTATAAGTGCTGCAGGGATGGAGTGTCCTGGGTTTGACAAGATGACAGCAGGATTCGCAGTGCAGCCACCAGCACCTGCCCAGCAAGCCAAGCTCTGACAGAATGATGTGTGACCAAGTGGGAAAGCAGCCACACATACCTCAGTAAAACAAACAGTGCAGCACTGCCTGAGTGAGGCAAACATATCAAACTGTGAAATGATTATAGGTTTACATGCCATGATAAGAATTTACAAATCATTGGTATGATACACTACATTACAATTTCAAGGCAGGGAGTAGCAAAGAAAACTTCTTTTAGCCTAAGAATATATAATGACTTACCTAAGATCATAGTAATGGCATTCCCTGTGGGTTTGAGTCTTTTTGTTCTTGTTTTTGCTTTTATGAAGGGCACAGGCCAGATATCATCAGACACAGTGTACACTTCCCAGAATTATTCAGAGTAAGTGTAGGCCCAGTACAGGCAATGGGTATACAGACTTTCATACACATCCATCCAGCACATCCCTGCTCTCTGCCCAGCCAGAGGGAGTGAGATTTTTGATATCCCACTAAGACCGACTGGAAGGGTGGGAGAAAGCATCTACAAAAATGGTCAATTATTTCAATGAATGTGTATAATCCAGATTTAAAAGCCCGAAATTTTGACTAGTTTAATTTATTGCACATTGCTGTAAATAGAAAGCAAAATAGAATAAATAGTAGTAATAGTTCTGTCACAAATTTTCAGTACATTTAATTTCTCTCTTCTTATTTCAGAATTAAATGCTTTTGTGAATACTCCACATTTTACCCAATTTTTTTCTTTAAACCTTCATATTCAAGAAGGTTTATATTCTATTTTCTTGCTGTCTTTAAAGAGCTTGAAGAAGCATTTTCTGGGAAGTGAGATGGCAATCTAAGGGCTTGGCTATCTGTGAGCTCAAAACTAGCAAGCCTTTATGGCTGAAGAATTTCACAATGCATCTGTTTACACAGACAAGAAAATTGCTTACCTTATTTTTCCATTTTCTTCTGCACTGCTCTTATATACACATTAGCCTAAACAGCAGAGAGCTCCATGCAGTGATTTATAAAAGTCTTTTCTAACACAGAGAAAGGAAGCCCTCAGAATGCTTAAAACAGTTACCTAAACTAGCACATATACTTTGTTCCAAAACTATTATTTGGTAAAATAAAAATATGTATTTGAATTACAAGGTTTTCCTAAGATTATTGGCAAGATTATGTATAACAATTTTTCAAAACACACAGCGGGTTTTTTTCTGTTTGTTTTTTTTTCATCAAAATACAGTGTATTTTTTCAAAATACAATAAAGCATTTTAAAAGCTTGTAATAGAAGATTAAAGCATTCAGAGTTCTATATTTATAGTAGCTCATATCAACTGAAGCTAGTGTTGAAGCTAGCACAAAGTAAATGATTCCATATGAATGTTTATATGGCAACAGGAAGCACAGTGTAATTATCAGTGAACACAACCTCAGATTTACCATGACTAAATTACACTTATATTAAATACTTTACACTAAATATAGTTTAGCTTCTTTGAAGAATGAGAATACAGAACCATAGAAATCAAGCACACCAGGAAAAATCCTGGCCACTGTCTTGCACATTCACAGTAGATAAAAACAGATTGTCAAATACTTATATACATATGTACATATACACATAAGTATATCTACATACAAATGTATAATCACATATAATGTGATGAGTATATGTATATAGAGCTGCAGATGAAAGTATATGTGTGTATATATGCATATATATACAAAATATATGTATATATATGTATATATACACTTATGTCTATACGCACACATATATCTGCAGCTATATATACACATAATTTTGTCACATTATTCCAAACATTGTTATAAGGGAAGACTATATCTTTCACTAATTAGCTATCAACTTGATACAGATAATGTTCAGTCAAACATATCCCAGCAACACTTCAACCCAAATTCCTCCATTTTGCATCCATTAATACATTTTGTTTTCTAAATTCACGCAAATGAAATGCCAGTGCTTTAAAATTAATGAATTAGA